CAATGTCAGATAAACTGTTAAAAACGATTACAAATATTAGAAGGCGTAAGCATAAAAGCAAGCATCAATAAAATGTCATTCAATTTAGGAAGAGGCATCATAAATACATTTTACAATTAATGAATGAAAAAATCGACGCGACACTACGAACCGAAGCGTAAAGAGGTGATACTTGAAAAGAAACTTGATATGACACCCAGCAACGCGTGAAGATGCGAGATTTAGGAAGCCGCAAATAAACACAATATATGCAGAGACACAAAACTATCAACACACAAAATCTTATTTATAATGGCCGAGGAAATACAAAGATTCACAGAAGGTTTTCGATAATTTATGTTCAAATTCTACCTACTAACTTGTAGAAATGAATAATTACTGCCCAAATACACCCCTCTCTCTCTCTCTCTCTCTCTCTCTCTCTCTCTATATATATATATATATATATATATATATATATATATATTCCAATAAGCTAGGTACTACCTACCTAGGTTTCACCACATGGGATCATCAGGGTGAGCTGGCTACTTTTAAAAGCCAGTTCATCCTGATGATCCCATGTGGTGAAACCTAGGTAGATAGTACCTAACTCATTAGAATATATATATATATATATATATATATATATATATATATATATATATATATATATATATATATACCAATGAGGTACAAGGATTGTTTGCAAACCTCTTTAAGGAAGTGTGGTTTTGATGTTCTGACTTGGAAGAGCAAGGCATTTGATCGGAGAAAGTGGAAAAGAGAGGTTCATGCAGGAAAGAATTTGAGAAAGAACGCGTTGAACATGAAAAGCTGAAAAGAGATGTCCAGAAGGGGTACGTAAATGAAGCGGAAGACGAAATGGCTAATCAGATTGGTTTGCAAATGTGTGACCGAGTCCGTTTCACCCTAGCAGGTCTGAAAAGTCACGAGAGAACGCATCAATGCCAGCTGAGAGCGGATTGCACGTTACTTGATAATTACAACGTGTAATGCGTGTGGAAATGTGCGCAAAGGTGCAGTAGGGTTGAAAAGACACAGCAACGACGATGCAGGAATTGTTGCCAGGGATGTCCATGATTGCCACTCCTGTGCCAAGTAATGTGTCTTTAGCAGGACTTATGAGAGCCTCATGAGAGCAGCTCCTCAATGAGCCCTCTGATGGAGTATTCAAGCAATGACAATGCTCGAACACGTGTTTGCAGCCATCATATCGGTGGAATAATGGATAGCGGCTTGGATTGAGGAATCGGAGAGCCGAGTTCGAATTCCAATCAAACCCATTACATTCACTTACATGCTAATCCCCTTTGGGAAAGGTGTGAATCCTTTTCTTCTCCCTCCAACTATGGGTAAATAGCAGGACAGACTGGGTTCTATAGCCTTGGATGGCAACTGGTTTAGGAGAAGGACAACCCTGAATTCAAAACCTGCGGAGGGTCATTTAGGGACCATGTGGCACTCAGTGCACCAGGTCTCTGTATTCGGCCCTTCAAAAAGTGTGGATGATCGTGCACGAAACCTTCACCACTATAATCAAATCTCATGTACTGTTGTCGGTTTCCTGGGAACTGATCTGCTTGACCCTCATACGTCGAATTCGACGGGAGAGTTGAGCGAGTATATATATATATAAAATCATTTTTATGCATTCTTTTTTATAGATACAAATATTTAAGTAAATGCTCTGTTTATAATGAACAGTATTAAGCAACATTTACCGGCCTGAATGTCCGAAAAATTGTCATAGAAAATATGCGTCCTCCGACAGGAATCGAACCTGTATTCTATACGGAACCGTCATATAGCCTGACGTGCTTTTACCGATCGAGGCACAGAGAAGCGTTTCGGTTAGCAAGGTCGATTTTACTGTTTTTAAACTAAAATGATTTTTTCACGTATATTCATATCTGCTCTATGAGTATCCAAATGTAAACAAATGACGTCACACATTATGAAATGGACAAAAGTACGTCAGGCTATATGACGGTTCCGTATAGGATACAGGTTCGATTCCTGTCAGAAGACGCATATTTTCTATGACAATTTCTCAGACATTCAGGCCGGTAAATGTTGTTGTTAATACTGTTTATTATAAACAAAGCATTTAATTAAATATTTGTATCTATAAAAAGAACGTATAAAACATAAAAAATATCTTGAAATAATTGTCGGATTTTGTCCATTTCATAATATATATATATATATATATATATATATATATATATATATATATGTAGAAAAATAGGAAAGAACACATTAGGTAAATAATCCGAGTTCTTTAATATTTTTTTTATTAAAAAAAAAATAGTGCTCCATACAGAGGTAGAGCTTTTGATATTTAACTTAATTTAATTCTAATTATTATATTGAGGTTTTCGGCTCTCGTTTTTGAAACATGAAAACTCTTATGTAGCGAAGGAATCATATTTTTAAAAAAATAATTATAATATATATATATATATATATATATATATATATGTGTGTGTGTGTGTGTGTGTGTGTGTACAGACATATGTGTGTGAGAGTAAGTGGGGAAGGATTTGCACAGTGAAAGAATTCGAAAACGAAAAAAAAATATGATGTGAAGAAATATTGATTAAAAGTAGACTAAATTTAACTTCTTTGGATATTTTTACTTACATCTATAACAGATTGCAAGTCTCGCAGACGGTGATTACGAATTCGAAATGCTGAAGATAACACCAACGCCACAAATGCCCCAGAATTGGATTCGAAATGCTATTGAGCAACGCGTCTTGTACAGTGATACGGACCGCCATCTTGTTGGAAACGACATTTGATAAATTTAATAAGTGTTATTAATATTTCATTCTGCAATTAATTTTTTTCTTTTATGATTACAAGGCGTTTACTTTAAAAAATAAATAGGGGTTTTAAGGATTCCCAGCAAATAAATTGGTTTTGAACATTTCTCTGCTTGGCCAAGAAGACATTAAAAATAAATTCTGATATTTGAGAATATTTTGTGAAATGGGTTGAGCCGTAGATTTTTCAGCACGCTCTCCCTCTCTTGCACCCCCCACTCTCTCTCTCTCTCTATCTCTCTCTCTCTCTCTCTCTCTCTCACACACACATACATATATATATATATATATATATATATAACAGGCACGGATTGAGGAATCGGAGAGCCGAGTCCGAATTCCAATCGAATCCATTACATTCACTTACGTGCTAATACTCTTGGGATATGTATAAATCCTCTTCTTCTCTCCCCCAGCTATGGATAAATAGCAGGACAGACTGAGTTCTATAACCTTGGATGGCAATTGGTCTAGGAGAAGTACAACTGTGCGGAGGGTCGTTTAGGGACCTTGTGGCACGTAGTATTCGCCCCCTTCAAAAAGTGTGGTTGGTTCTGCACAAAACCTTCACCATTATAATCAAATCATATGTTCTGGTGTCTGGCTGTCGGTTCCTAGGAACTGAGCTGCTTGACCCTCATACGTCAAATACGACGGGAGAGTCGAATATATATATATATATATATATATATATATATATATATATTTTTTTTTATTGCAGGATCTTTCTTTACTATAGTTACCGTTTCTAATGAGGTCTTCCAGTTTTTCTGTATATTCAGATTTGTTCATCACTACAGTCACATTGCCGTTGTCAGCTGATAGTATGATGATGTTATCCTCTGTACGCTTTTGATTACCAGCCTCAACAGTTATGTGATGTTTGATTTGAGCAGCTTGGGTATCTCAAATATCTTTCTCAATTTCCATCTTAGCTCATCCGCCCGAGTGTGGGAAATATTCAAGGCCCTTTCTTCGATTCGGCCGATGATGTCCAAGTATAGTATCTGCAACATCATTATAATACCAGCCTGGCGCACCACGAAGCGGTGTAATGGTTAGCAAGATTGTCTCACTAAAACAATTACAACTGAGTAGTGAGTTCGATCCTCACTGAATGCCCCATACTTTCGCAATGCAACTGTAATAATGGACAAAACAGAATATACAGAAAAACTGAAAGGCCTCAGGCACCTCTTCCGAGTAAGACCTCTCATAGAGAAAAACATGATTAAGGATTGTGTATACGACATCCCATGCAGCTGTGTTAAGTAATATAAAGGATAAACAGACCGTCACCTTAAGATAAGACGGCAGGAACACGGTAAAGCCGTAACACGAGGGGAAATACCACATACAGAGGGGAAAAGAAAGATTAAGGATGGTATAAGGTTGACATAATAAGTAGAGAAAATCACTGGAAAATACGAAAACTTAAGGAATCAGCTCATATGCTAGGTCGCAAGAATCTCCTAAACCGGCCAAACATAGAAATGAATACAATATGGAAACCAGTAATACGGAGTACTAGAGAAAAAGACCCAAATAGTTATGAGTTCAATACCTGACTACAGCTGAGATGAACAAATCTTGGAGAGTTAAGTTAAAGGGAAATAAGTGATACTAAGACCTCTGGAAGAGGCATGGCACGTAGAATGAGAACAATCTTTCTCGGTGGATGAAATAAAGGGTTCAGTTCGGAATTCCAATCACCTGACAAATGCCGAAGCGTTGTGCATATGGCAACAAAGATGAGGACAGCACCCGAACAATGTAAATAGTGTAAAGAATTACAATACTTTATCTCAGAAATAGAGACAGATATTAATTATATGTTTTTTCATGTTAAGAAATTAATTTCCCCCCAAAAAACTTTAAAGCATTTTCTTCAGGTAATACACAGGTCGATGTTTTTTTAAGCGAAAACAATCCTTTTGCCTAAAAAAGCATCGACCACTGTAAGAAAACGCATTGTTGATTTTCAATATATATATATATATATATATATAACTTTGATATTTTGCGAGTTTGGGCATGTAGACTCTTGGTCCCTTTTTACAGAAAACACTCAACTTATCTTTGTATTCGATGGCTTAATACGTTTATCTAAATTTGTTGGCTGCGTCTCAAGGCTGTATAAAAGAATTCATCTTTGATTTAAGATAAAAGATGCTATTCGTTACGTTTGATAAGATGGGATGGCAATGGAATGTAATGCGTGACAGGAACGGGTTATTTGCCACTGAACTTACAATTTTTCAATGCAAAGGAGGGGATCTATCTATCTATCTATCTATCTATTTGTTCATATCTATCTATCTATCTATCTATCTATCTATCTATCTATCTATGCTTATATCTTTCAATTCATCTGTCTGAGACAGTTGACAATTGATTCAATGTTTTTGGGCCATTTAATTCGGAAATATAGGCGCTGTACATTTTGTACTTGTAAAATCTCTGCTATTCAAACTACCTCATTCTGTCCATATATATCAATTTATCTTTCTCGATAGGTGTCCTGTTGCGAGGCCGTATCTATTCTGTTAAAGATTGGGACAACATAATCTACTGTAACAATATTGAAGAATTGAAGACACACCTGACCAAGTCTTCAAAGCATTGATTAAAACACATCTGGTCTCTTGGCAATTTTGAGTTCAAACGCCAACTTTGGAAATCCCGGTTTTCGTCTAAATTCGAAAACTGGCACCATCACCATCATCATTATCATGACCGCAACTGAGCATCTAACCAATTCCCTCGTTGAAAACCAGAAGGATTATTCATTCATGGGTACCCTGTCTTGGGTAAGTAGATTTGTTGGGACCTGTTCTTCTTCAGGCCGAATCACAGTCGACGTCCACCAGCTTGAACGATTACCTTGGTCACGGACACGTGAGTGTTGATTTAATTTAGGAAACCTCTGCCTCAATCGTTAATTGGCGCCGTTATGAAATCAATAAACGCACCGGCAACTATACGAGTGTCTGATCGAAAAGTATCGGGACTGGTACTATAAAAAGTAAACTACAACATATATCAATTCGGCATTTAATCTCCTTCGAAGTAGTCCCCTTCTGAAGCCACACACTTTATCCAGCGTCGTTTCCTTTGATGAAAACAGATCTGAGGAATGTTGTACTTAGGCAAAGACTGGTGCACAAGACATGGTCACTGGTGGAATTCCCGTGCTATGGTGAGATGACCACATTCTACACATTTTCCTTCCAAGCGCTGCTATAAACAATGGGAGCAAGAACGTTATAGCTCCGTGTGTATACGCGAAAGAGTTCAAGGTCATTCTGTGACAATCGGCCTCACTCTGCACAATTTAGCTTCGTTACGATGAGACCTAGATGCCAATCTACTGGCACGCTTAAGTTCATGTAGTCGGAAAAAAGCTCATCAGAACAGTTTCTATGAAAATATTTGTAGAAAAGACAGAGAGAAGCCACGTTAATTAAGTGAGAAAGTGACTGATGTTGGGATGCCTGGTCAGGGTTGATTACATTGTAGATCTTTCTTTGGATTTTTGTCAAGGGTCTCAAGATGTACACCAGCAGCACCAGACCAGATGTGGCAAAAGTATTCAATGAATGGACGGATGGTAGATTTGTAAATGTGCAAGATGGATTCTGACGGAAAAGAGTTTCTGGTACGACACAGTGAATCAACTTTCCTTGCAGTAGATACAGCTATTGATTCGATGCCGTTGTTCTTCATGTCAGCGGAAAACGTAAAGCCAAGAAGGTGTAGAGTGTTGCTCTCCAGGGTTTTAGCATCAGATATACTGATGGCAACACTTTCGCACAATACTTATGGGAAAGATGTGAATTCTTTTCTTCGCCTTTTGTTATGTGGTAAACAGCAGAAAGATGGGGTTCTCTAGCCTTTGCCAGGCAAACAGTCTAGGAGAAATATATCATTGAATTTGATGAGGAAACCACAGTTACCCTAGTGTGGCGAGGCTCATGCTCTGTGCTCCGTACAGAGTGAGAAGAAATCTTTTTTTATTATCTTTGTATAAGTATTATTCTAATTATCAATTAATTGATTAATTAATTATTAATTAATTAATGGAATTATCAAAAATGAATCTTCGAATATTAATGTATTATTTGTATCTAGGTTATGTGTGTGTGTGTGTGTGTATATCTATCTATCTATCTATCTAATTAGAGAGTGAGAGAGAGACAGACAGACAGAGAGACAGACAGAAAGAAAAGCTAAGGAAAAAGAAAGAAGTAAGATTATGAGGCAATTTAAAAAAACCAGAGCGCAAAAGAAAGCGATACAAAGAAAATAGAGAGGAATAAATGGGAGTAAAGTAAAGAATCAAAGAAATAACAAGACAGAAAGAAAGAATTCGAGTAAGTGTATGGAGATAGAATATATATATATATATATATATATATATATATATATATATATGTAGTTAAGTAATGAAAAGTTTGGTAATCCGTATGGATAATTCCAAGGAGAATATAATCCAGAGAGCTCAATGTCAAATCAGAGCAATTATTAATTCAATTTAAATAGAAAACAGACAACCTTAAGGGTCCATTGGTTATAATTTATTTCCCCGGGTATATGATTTTTATCTGGTACATCAGACTGCAATTCCAAGGGTGAATTAAAATTATTCCTATCTCTCCCTTCTCTCTCTAATTCTGTCATACTCCCCTTCTCTCTATATCTACATCAACTTAAAACTACTCCTCAAAAGTGTGTAAGAACTATATGTAAATTTAAAACATTTTTTACATGTTCTCTATTTAAATTGAATTATATATATATATGTATGTATGTGTGTGTGTGTGTGTCGCTCAACTGCGCCCCACACATAATAATCAAGGGGGTTTACAGTCTGAGGAGTTAGATGGCCAGACGTAAGGGGGTGATGTGGTCGCTGACATGACTAGGTTCTCCTGCTTGTTTGACATAGTCCCAGAGTCCTGTTGCTAGACATAGGGTCTTTAAGTAGCCATCCCGTTGACTCAGGACAGCACAATTTCCTCGAGGAACTTGATGTAGGCCTAGTGTTGAGTCTGAAGCCCCGTGAGAAGACAAGTGTTGGCATAACGTTGCCATCATTAGTGATCAATCCAAATACCTTCGTAATCAACAGTAGATTCAACCAATTTCCAAATCCAGTGCACTGTCCTCAGATTGACACCCAAACACTCTGAAATGTTCGTATTGGACATGCAGTACAGCATGACGTTTCCATATTTTTGGTGGAGCGAATTGTGTCCTAGTGCAGTCGACAAAATAAAAAAAAAAACAAACAATTGGCATGTGCGAAAGGAAAATTATAAAATTTACCCATCGCGCCCTATCTATCTATCTCTATCTATCTATCTATCTATCTATCTATCTATCTATCCAAGTATAGGATTGGTGTATACGGAATAAATTCCAATAACCAACAAAAAATAGCTATTTTCTTTCAAACAAATGTTTGAAACAAAATGGCTATTTTTGTAGTGATTTTATAACATATTTATGTTATAATTTTCGAATAAATAATTATATATATATATATATATATATATATATATATAGAGAGAGAGAGAGAGAGAGAGAGAGAGATAAATAGATGGACAGACAGAGTGATAAGGAGAAAAAAAGAGAATTATTTTTGTGTGGGTAGAAAGTTATATATATATATATATATATATATATATATATATATATATATATATATGTGTGTGTGTGTGTGTGTGTGTGTGTGTGTGTGTGTTTAGGCAGTAAATTCTCTTTTCAGTCATGTCTGATTGAATAAATTACAGACATTATGTCTGCTAATTTTTAACAATATCTGTTCATACTCACGAATAACCTTCCGTGTATTGATATTAAAGGGTGAGAGAAATATTCTATAGCTTTTTAAATTTCTTTTATTTTCATTTCCCAAGTATTTTCGATCTTCTTCGAAGATCATCTTTAGTGGTGCAAGTAGTACAAAACTATGTGTTGTTCATTAATATAAGTATTTATACAAAGATGTGCGTTGTTATCCATTACTGTAATTTTTCCATTATGCTTTAAATGCAAAACGCTTGACATTGTGCTGAGTGTTCATTAGAACGTGAAAGCAAAATCGTTTATGCGATTTTTCTCTCTATCTTATAATGTCAGAGATAGATAGATATATAGATAGATAAAGAGAGAAATAGAGAGAGAGAATTATTTGATTTGAAAGTGATATATATATATATATATATATATATATATATATATATATATATATAGAGAGAGAGAGAGAGATAGATAGATAGTGACAGAGAGAGAGAGAGAGAGAGAGAAATATTATTTCTGTGGAGTAGAAAGTGATATATATATATATATATATATATATATATATATAATGAGGCACAGAAATAATATTTGTGTTGGGGTAGATAGTGAGAGATAGGTATATATATATAATTATATAAATATATATGTATATATATATTGAGAGAGAGAGAGACAGACAGACAGACAGATAGACAGAAACAGACAGAAAGTAAGAAATAGGGAGAGAGGGGGGAGCAAGAAATATTATTTGTGTTGGGTAGAAAGTGGGCGATAAATATATATATATATATATATATATATATATATATATATATATATATATATATACCTATCTCTCAATTTCTAGAGAAAAATAAAATTCGCATAGAAATGAATAATAAGAATAAGGAATTCTGGGATCTTCCAACTACAATTAAAATTCAAATATTATTAAATAATGCATGACATTTTTTTGCTCTCTTATTATTACAAAGCACCTAATCCAAATACAAATATGAAAAAAAATTATGATAGTAATCTGCCCTCCGATATATCTATCTATCTATCTATATATATATATATATATATATATATATATATATATATATATATATATATATATATATATATTATTTTTGAGCGGTTCCGCCAGAGCTACCGTTCTCAATATGTACTGGAGCGATTCCATCACTTATGAAAACATTCCAGTGTCATTAAAGCATTGTTATAAAAGACCCGACTGGAGTTTTCATGCTATGTGTCCGGATTCAGTCAAAATTATTCACCGACGATGTAAAATAAAATATTTTACGAGTATCCAATACACAGAAAAATTTATTTAAGTCCAAACAACCCGAACATAAACTACGCCTGAAAGTCCTAAAAAAAAAAAAAATTCTGGTAGAATTCAAAATAAATTTTCTCATAGGAATATTTGGAAGTTAAACAAACTGTTGCTTCTGAAAATCATAGTGCTCAACTGGCTCATTTGAATAACGTATTAGTTGTAACGTAGAGAAGGTTACTGAATCAAATAATCACATGAAGGTTGGTAATGAACGATAATACTTGAGACATGAAAAAAGGCATATAAGATTCGCCAGCGGCGCGTAGAAGTAGAATTCCACAATGAATGTTCAACTGCATGATATCTACCAACCGTAGGCTCAGCCAAAAATTCCCCGGGTAGCTGTTTTTCCCGAGACGTGACTTTGCCCTTCGACATAGCCTTGTCTGAGGATCCTCACTGCTCGGAGGCAGAAACTTTGACCAGCATAGCTGGAGACGAATAACTGCAGGATATCTACCAACCGCCCCACACGGTCATATGTGTCACAAGACCGATTTTAATGTAGGTTATCCTAACCCGTTGGCTCGGCCAAAACTCCATAGAACGAAAGTATTAGAATCTAAATCCCTATTCAGTAGCAATTGATTTCGTGAGGCAAGCTTACTTAACATTACACCATATCGAAGGCCCATTTAGACATGATACTTTTTGGCTTTTAGTAATTCTCTAACCTTCATTAGACTTTCATTTGGCTAATATTGTTTTGTTAATCAGTTCATCCCAAGCAAGGTGATAATGCCACTAAGATGCAAGGGGCTACTGGTATTAAAAGAGAATGAGAATAATTAAGCCGGAACCGAAAACCCAATCTTAAACAGGAATCAATGGATAAAACGCTATTCCTCTTCAATTGACCGTGGAGAAGTGTGAATCGAGCGATAGGCAAACCTATCTACTCCTATTAATATAGCGATGTTTTAAGCGTAGCTTAGATGTGCCACAAGGCCGAAAGTATGGGGCACCAAGTGAGGATCGAGCTCATTACTCGGTCGTAATTGACCTAGTGAGACAACCTTGCTAATGTTTGAATTTTAGCATTACTTGTTTTTATTACATTATATATATATATATATATATATATATATATATATATATATATATAAAAACTGAAGTTAACACTCAGAGGCAACAGGTTGTGTCATGTTAAACGCATTCGTCAGGCCTGAGTGATCGGCTATTGGTGTTGACTTCAATGCTCACTTTATACATACATACATACATAAATATATATATATATATATATATATATATGCTTAAATTTTTTTTTTACATTCTCATATATATCGCTTTTTTAGTTTCTCTCGGACTTACATATTGAGTGATTGGAGGCAACTCCATTAATTTTCTGATTTTGGAATTTTTGCTGTTGTTATTTCTGTTGAAAAATCCTTGTCATGTATTTTAAGGCTTCTTAATTTTGACCTGTGACACTCACAAAAAAAAAGAAAAGAAAAAAAAACCAAAACTGCATGGTCATTTATTTTGACTCTATTATCAACTTTGAAAGGACTTATATTATTATTATTATTATTATTATTATTATTATTATTATTATTATTATTATCTACAATACAAGCCCAAATCCTTACTCTACCTCTGTACTATTGTCTACTAAGTCAGTTTAGTTGACTATTTCTATGAAGATCTCAAACTCTTGACCAACCAACAAATTCATCCAAGGCTTACAACCACATCACGTTGAAACATCGGTTCCCATACGATCATCGAAGTTGAGCAACGTCCAGCCAGGTCAGTATTTAGATGGATGACCACTTGCGAATACCAAGTGTTGTAAGATTGGATGTGCGCGTGGCTCGGAATTGTTAATCGGGAAAATTGAGTTCTACTTGCCCTTGGGTTCAATATATTCACTTACTCGCAAATACCCTTGGAAAAGGTATGAAACCACCTCTTCTCTCCCTAGGTATGGATTAATTAGTAAAACTTGTGTCAATAATTATTATTGCCCCCCCCACACCAAATTTTTACGATTAGAAAATATTTTCTGGTTTTAAATAACCTGTAAATGGTTTAGAAGCCGTAGAAAAGGAATTGATCATTAAAAAATATTCTAAAGTAGCTCTACATTCATTGATAAAAATTCCTGTTGAAAAATCAGTTTTCATGTACTTCTTCAAATAACTTACATAATTCTCCATGTGATATTTGCTTAAAGGTGGTAGTATTGCCGCTTTCATGCATTCAGCCAGTCTTCTTAATATTCTATGTTTTTCTCTATTTACATTGGCAACACCAAATTCTTCAAAAATTTTCTTGCAGGTCAATTCATTTTACTTGCATATTATCTATTTTTCTGAAATCTTGCTTGGAGTCGATCTTAAAACTATTATTTTTTTTATCTTGGGAATGTTTTCGATTCTTCAATGATCAGTGTTCTGCATTTTCACAATTTCCAATCATTTGTTCTCATAATTCAGTAACATTGTAACATCTTGTTTCTCTTTTGAGTTTGTATATTTCTTACGACACTTGGCAAGCTTTATATATCCGAAATTAAAATTTAACGTAAACAAATATACTATTATATATATATATATATATATATATATATATATATATATATATATATATATATATGTATATCGCCCACTTTCTACCCAACGCAAATAATATTTCTTGCTCTTACCTCTCTCCCTATTTCTCTCTTTCTATCTGTTTCTGTCTGTCTCTCTCTCTCTCTCTCAATATATATATACATATATATTTATATAATTATATATATACCTATCTCTCACTATCTACCCCAACACAAATATTATTTATGTGCCTCATTATATATATATATATATATATATATATATATATATGTAAGTGAACATAGAAGTCAACACTTAGAGGCGACAGTCTGTTTCATGCTAGATGCAATCGTCAGGCCTGTTCACTTTTATATTTACACACGCTCTATCTCTGATATTGAGCATTTTATCCCATAAATATAGCACATCTTAAGACTATATTTCTTCATATATATATATATATATATATATATATATATATATATATATATATATATATATATATATATATATATATATGTGTGTGTGTGTGTGTGTAGTTTATATGTTATTTTTATGGCTACAACTTATTTGAGTAAATGCTTTTTTTTAATTAAATAGTATTAATTACATTTACCGGCCTGAATCTTCAAGAAATTTCGTAGAAAATATGCGTACTCCGACAGGAATCGAACCTGTGTCCGATATGGAAACCGTCATTTCATCTAATGTGCTGTGTAACCATTCAGCCATAGAGAACTTTCCGGTTAGCAAAGTCCAAATTACTGCTTCAATTCCTATCGGAGACAAAGAGACAATCAATGCAGTGGAAACACACCTGATCGCCTGCTCCATAGAAGGCCAAGGTCGTTTCATCTACAGGGAAAGTGATAGCCTCAGTTTTTGGTGGGGCTGCAAAAAAAGCACAGTGTTTATTCACTATCGTCAAAAGTGCTACACCATCAATGGCGAGGACAATACCAACTTGATGAGGCAGTTAGAAAAGCTATCAATTCCAAACGCTCAAGAAAACTGACGAACGTTCTTTCATCTGGACAATGCTTCAGCAAACAAGTCCTTGATTTCAATGTGTGCGATGCATGACTGTGACTTTGAACTGGTTCCTTTCTGTTCTCCTGATTTTGCTCCATCTGACTAACATCTGTTACCCAACATGAAAAAAAGAAAAGAAAGAAAAGAAAACACTTGGCTGAGAACCAACATCGCTGTGGTGATGACGTCATATCTGCTGTTGATGACTCTTCTGACCAACAGGATGAAAAATTCTTTACCAATGGGATCCAAGCACTGCAATTGAAGAAGTCAGTGCACCGCAGATGAAAGAAATGTGTGGACCACAAGTGGGTGACTATGTTGAAAAATAAACCTCATTTGGTCACATTCGTTGGCCTATGAATTTTCAACCCCTACTCTCGTACATATATATATATATATATATATATATATATATATATATATATATATATATATATATATATATATATATATCAGTGAATATTGAAGTCAACACTCAGAGGCGACAGGCTGTTTCATGCTAGACGCAATCGTCGCCTCTGGGTGTTGACTTCAATGTTCAGTTTTATATTTATATACGCTCTATTTCTGATATTGAGCACTTAATCCTATAAATATAGTACACCTTAAAACTATATTTCTTCATATATATATATATATGTGTGTGTATGTGTGTGTTTGCGTGCGTTTATATATATATATATATATATATATATATATATATATAAAAGAATAGAGAAACCGCAAACGTTTTTGGTTGTAATGTAGATGTTTTTAAAAAAATATATTATGCTTTATTTTCCATAAAATAAATGATCAGTTACTAATAATATTATTGAAAATAAAGCATAATACATTTTAAAAAATCCGCATAACAACAAAAAACATCATTTGCAGTTTCTCTCTTCTCCATGTGATATTTCTCTCTCTCTCTCTCTCTCTCTCTCTATATATATATATATATATATATATATATATATATAAAAAAAAATTATATGCAACAAAGATTCTCATGTTAAAATAATATAACCTTATTCTCCTTTATATATATATATATATATATATATATATATATATATATATATATATATATATATGTGTGTGTGTGTGTGTGTGTGTGTGTGTGTGTGTGTATTTATGTATGTATGTATGTATAAACGTAACTAGGACGTTGTACTATTCAATGTTGCCTTAGCTAAACGACAGAGCGTTTATGAGGAGGGATACAAAAATCGTGTACGACCGACTTTCTTAAATCTGACCAACTGCCCAAACATCAGCTTTATATATTTATATATCTATATATCTATATATATATATATATATATATATGTGTGTGTGTGTGTGTGTGTGTGTGTGTGTGTGTGTGTGTGTGTGTGTGTTTGTGTGTGTGTGTGTGTGTCTTTGTGTATTTGGTGCTAATTGGTACGATACGATTTAATTAGCTTCGCTTGCATGTCCCTGCGCGGGCATCAACTTTGAATCCAAAATGGCTTTCTCGTCTGCCAAAACAACACTCACGGTGTTTGTTCGACTTCATCTTTGTTTTCACCATCGCTGATGAAATCTTTTCGAACCAACCAAATATGTTCCAACGCATCAGTTATTAATGATATTTTGTCCGTTTTCATTAGCTACCCTACACAGGGTTAATTTCAAATTACATCCATTTTTTCTATCTATCTATCTATCTATCTATCTATCTATCTATCTATCTATCTATCTATCTATCTAAAAACATCGATGAATATACGACGTGTTGCCTGAAAGTTCGGGGTACTGTTCGTCCGTCAAATTGCTCGTCATTTCACTCATTTTAAATAATTTTTTCACCCTAAAATAAAACATCTCATTTTCTATGTTTTTTTTTTTCGTTGAGGATTGAATGTTGTGCCTAATTATATTCGGACTATTTTCCTCATCTTTACTGTTGTTATCACAACGTTTCGCTCGTTGTGCCCTCCAGCCTTTATTTCTCTGGGTAACCTTCTGAAATGAACGCTTTATTTAATCTACGAGGGTACATTCTCGTTCCACTTCTCATGCCTAAGGATATCGTCTACTTCTTATTTTTATTTAGTGCTGTTCAGTTATTGCTTTTCCGTTTCCACTGAGTGTAAGTACACACTGCCAGACCAAGCGATTGAACACGCAACCACTATGTCAAATTCACAAACCAACGCTTTTATCCACTAGAACAATTTGCTGTAGTAAACTTAGAGTGTTAAACATTGCCTGGCTGCTGATTAGGTTGCAAATGCTGCTGTTGCTGGCTGTAATGTTTTGATTGTAGTTGCTTGAAAACTTATCATTTCTTTCTTCTTATTATTATTAGCGGTTTCCATATTGTATTTATTTTTATGCAAGTTCCTCATAGTCTAGCATATGAGCTGATTCTTTCAGGGTTTTTCCTTTTCCATTATAAGACTCAATTCATGCTAAAGAATGAATACGATATCATTCTAAATTATACGAAAAATAAACACTTCATTATAATAAATTTTATTAAAAATAAATCGTAAATCATAATAAATAATAAAGCGATATTAAATTTTACGAAATGTACTAGATTATACAAAAATTATATGCTTATTATTGAAACTAAATATTATGAAATAATTCATAATAATTCATATAAATGTTATTAAAAATAAATATTTAAACTTAATAAATTTTACTTAAAATAAACATTGAATTAAATGTAAAATACACGCCAAGTTACAATAGATAATTAATCATACTAAATTTTTCTTAAAATTAAACGAAATTAAATTTATTACACAAAAATAAATGCGAAATTATACGAAAATAATTGCGAAAATACACAAAAATAAATAATTCTAAATTTGCTTAAAAGTAAATACTTGATTATTTTAAATCTGATTAAAAATAAATACTTCATCATTCTAAATTTGATTAAAAATAAATATATGATCATTCTAAATTTGATTAAAAATAAATACTTGATCATTCTAAATTTGATTAAAAATAAATATATGATCATTCTAAGTTTGATTAAAAATAAATACTTAATGATTGTAAATCATGCGAAGAATAAATCAAAAAGTAGGAACAAATATTCCAGATAAATGTCAAGCTTTATTGAGTGAAAACAAAACAACTAATTATTTATTATTTGCATTATTGAAATCTCACTTGAATTAAATCTGTCACCATTTTCATTCCAAATTAACGTGAATCAATTTTAACTCGTCAGATGCCCGCCAAAGTAAACAATTTGGCGCGATGTTAGGTTTTATAGCATCGACATAACGATCCACTCCGATGAGAAACATTCGATTTTTACAGCGCTTATCTGCTTCAGTTATTTCAAGCAGATGTCTCTGAGGAAACCGTGTCCCAAAAACATATGCGACACGGCGCTGAAAACTTCTTGGCCTGGCTTACTTCACAAAATCTAAGGAACTGAAAAGACATCGGACTATTTTTTAGTCAGGGCGATAACTTTTAGCACCTCCTCGCGCAACCCCATACGCACAGACACACACACATACATATGCATATGACTTCAAATGTGAATAAAAATAAAAATCAATTAATCATATATATATATATATATATATATATATATATATATATATATATATATATATATATACCTAGTGAGCCAGTTCATGTTTGTAGCTCTTTTCTTTTTTTAAACCTTTTTTTTCCTCGAGATTGATTTGATTAGCAAATCAAAAATTCGAGGGTTTTTCGAAACGAGTCTAGTTATATATATATATATATATATATATATATATATATATATATATATATATATATATATATATATTATATATATATAAAAGTTGAGTCCGTTTTGGAATCTCTTCGTCACCGAGGCCCATTTGGAACAGTTGGTATGATGTTCGCTTGACAGGGTTTCAATTCTCGGTAGTGGATGCGCACTGCTGATGAGTCCCAAATATAGGACGAAACGGCCGTCCAGTGCTTTCTGCATTCTTTTGAGGTTTCTATCAGACTCGATGAATTAATTAAATATATATATTTAAGGTTCAAACATTAATATTCCATGGTTATAATTTATTACATTGCAATCGTAATCACGACCCAATTTATCAGACCTACGAATTCAAAAGGCCTGATGAATTGGATCGTGATTACGATTCTAATGTAATAAATTATAACCATACAATATTAGTGTTTGAACCTTTTATATTATATTCTTACTCTGTCCTGGACATTGAGTTCTAACTGGATTCTATCCTCTTGGGAATTTATATATATATATATATATATATATATATATATATATATATATATATGGGAGAGAGATAAACAGATAGATACATAGCAAGTATGAGAGAGAGAGAGAGAGAGAGCGGAAGAAAGAGTACTCATAAAATTCGACACTACATGAAAACTGTCAGTTTCATGCCGTAAACGATCTTCAGACCACGTGTATTTACTCATATTTCTTGTTTTATATACACCTGCAACTCGCTATTAAGGTAACAGGGGAATGAAAGAAACTGGCCTTCCCAGTTTCTTTGTTGTTGTTGATTAGGTTAATGCTATAAGTTATTCCTGGTCATAGCATTTAGTTTGCTTATTTTATTCATGGTATTAAATTTATTTTTACATTTTACGTATTTATTTGTTTCGTATATTTTTTTCTTCGATTCTAAATGTTGGTGCTTTAAATAAAATTTATAAGATTTAGTTAATATCATTTTATTGATTCGTAGAATAATTGTAGGTAGCGGAGTTGGAACTTATTTTCGTGTTTGCGTTTTGAAATGACCTCTGATATTTTGTTTAAGAGTTTATCTTGTTCTGGAAAAGCGATTCTGATTATTTTCTCCTGTAGGTAAAGGTTAAATTGTTTTGAGGTTTTATTGTAAGCTGGTGTTGATTTTATCTTTTAATTTTTTTTCATATAATCTTTTGGGTATGTTTTGCTTGGTGTTTTTGAGTTTCTATATATGTTTTGACAGGGTTGTACATATTTTTGTGCTAAATGATTTTTTTTCAGTAGCTTTTCTGTTCCCAGTAACCTAATCCTATCTATCTATCTATCTATCTATCTATCTATCTATCTATCTATCTATGTGTATGCGCGTGTGTGTTTTAGTAAACAAATACACTGTATTGGTTGTATTTGTTACTTTTCAGCAACTTTTATATAACAGATCAAAGAATCAAAGAAGTCTCAAAGACAGATGTGCTTTCCTTAAACAGGTTAACTGATTCTCCTGTGGCAACGGTACGATTTGGCTATAGGAATGATTTCCATTATGAAAAAAGGAGATAAATGTTCGGTTCCTGCGTGTGGCCCATTTTTCATTGATAAGTTTGATATTAATTTCGCTATTTAAAAAGAATTAAAATAGGATGTTAACTCAAACACGTTGGTTGATTTTGTTTAGCAGCATATCAACCTCTACGGGTTATTTAATTCCGAAATCTAAATGTTTTCCTCAACTCCAAATAAAATATATTGTCAGTATCTATCTATATTTCTGAGATGAGGTATTATGTACACTATTTACATTATTCGGACTATTGTCCTCATCTCTGTCGCCATATTTATTACAACGTTTCGGCCCTTCAGTATCTATCTATATTTCTGAGATGAGATATTATGTACACTATTTACATTATTCGGACTATTGTCCCCATCTTTGTCACCATATTTATTACAACGTTTCGGCCCTTCAGTATCTATCTATATTTCTGAGATGAGATATTATGTACACTATTTACATTATTCGGACTATTGTCCCCATCTTTGTCACCATATTTATTACAATGTTTCGGCCTTTCAGTATCTATCTATATTTCTGAGATGAGGTATTATGTACGCTATTTACATTATTCGGACTATTGTCCTCATCTTTGTCACCATATTTATTACAACGTTTCGGCCTTTCAGTATCTGCCTATATTTCTGAGATGAGGTATTATGTACACTATTTATATTATTCGGACTATTGTCTTCATCTTTCATATTTATTACAACGTTTCGTCCGTTGTACGCTCCAGCCTGCTGGCCTTCTTCAGGTGGTTGGAATGTCGAACCACCTGAAGAAGGCTGGAGCGTACAACAGCCGAAACGTTATAATGAATATGGCGACAAAAATGAGGACAATAGTTCGAATAATGTAAATAGTGTAAATATATTGTCAATTTGTAATTCAGCTATAAATAGGTATTGTTATAGATGTAGCCGCAAATTCTATGCTAACAATTTCTTTTTTCACACTTCTCGCTTGTGGAACTCCCTTCCGGCTCCATGCTTTCCAAACAACTTTAATCTCCAAAAACTTGAATGCAATATCAATCGTTATCTACTGTCCTCCCGGTTACTCTTTTCTCTTGTCGCTCATTAGTAATGTTTCTGTTCCTAATTCATCTACACCCAGTAACCCCTTGTGACTTTACTGCCTTGCATGGACTGATAACGATTCAAAGAATAGAACTACCAGAGACTGTAATAAACGCTTTATATTCATCATATTCTACGAATAATCTAAAATTTCAATACGTCTTCGCACGTACACACACACACACACACAAACAAATATGTATTATCTTCTCTGCAATTTGAAGGTCATATTTAAAAAAAAACCACAGCCCTTCAGTAGTATTTTAATACCGATGATTGACTTCAGACGAATTGTCCGTCGAAACACTTCTTGGATAATATTTATTTTATTCGATTTTAATCGTTAAATGGATCCCTATCTTAAATATATATATATATATATATATATATATATATATATATATATATATATATATATATATATATATATATATATATATCTCTCTCATCGAGATTCGACGTATGAGGGTTAAGCAGATCAGTTCCCAGGAACCGACAGTCCAACAACAGCACATGAGATTTGATTATAGCGGTGAAAGTTTCGTGCACGACCATCCACACTTTTTGAAGGGCCGAATACAGAGACCTGGTGCTCTAAGTGACACAAGGTCCCCAAACAAACCTCTGCAGGTTTTAAATTCTGAGTTGTCCTTCTCCTAGACCAGTTGCCATCCAAGGCTATAGAACCCAGTCTGTCCTGCTATTTTACCCATAGTTGGAGGGAGAAGAGGAGGATTCGACTGGAATTCGATATCGACTCTCCTCAATCCAAGCCTCTATCCATTACTTCACCGTGCCTCCTCTCTATATATATTTATATATATATATATATATATATATATATTCTACTCCAACAGCTTCTTATCTCGCACTTCCCGTCAGTGAAACTCCGTTCCTATCACTTGCTTTCCTGATAGCTATAATCTTCAAATATTCAAATGTAACCTTGACCTTGATCCGTGTCCTTCTACGAATATATATAGGCTCTGACATTTAATATGGCATTGAGCTCTCTTTCATCGTTGTGCATTTGCAGCAGACTACCAAAGAAGTTACTTACTTCATATTCATATCACAAACACACACACACACACACACACACACACACACACACACATAACCGCAACAATTATTAAATATTATTAAATATTAAATTAAGAGAAATATTAAATATTACTAAATATTATCAAATATTAAATTAAATAAAATATTAGATATTATTAAATATTAAATTAGATGTTATTAAATATTAAGTATTATTAAATATAAAATATTATTAATATTAATTTAAATATTATTAAATACTGTTAAATATTAAATTAAATAAAATATTAAATATTATTAAACATTCTTAAATATTAAATTAAATAGAATATAAAATATTATTAAATATTAAATTAAATTAAATATTATATAATACTAAATATTATTAAATATTAAATATTTTTAAATATTATTAAATATTAAATGTTTGAATATTATTAAATATGAAATATTATTAAATATGAAATATTATTGAATATTATTAGATACTATTAATTTTTACAATACGTGTCCTGAGAGCTTTTTTTTTTCCATATTTTAACTTTTACAAAGCGAAATTCGTTGTTAAATACTAAAAATAAAAATGACAAATATCATTGTAAATTTATTTAAATACTACCGACATTTTTTGCCAGCCCAGGTAAATAAATAAATGAAAGATGAGAAAAGTAGAAAAATTAAGGAGACTATAGAGAGTATAAAAAAAATAAATAATGAAATGCCTCTTCCGGATGTCTCAGTTATTTCCTTCCAACTCTACACTGCAAGTTTATGATTCACTACTGCCGTGGCCTGATATTGAACTCACAACTGTTTGAGGTTAGTCACTGGATCTAACTAACGTCTTTACAAAAAAAAAAAAAAAATACGAAAAAACGTAAATAATAATGGAATTATTCGTTTTGTTTCAAATAATTTGCACAAGGTCCTGTCTGTCTGTCTATCTATCTATCTGTCTCATTCTGTTTACATAAAGTACTCTGGACTAGCCCGGAAACTCTCCTGATTTAAATCCAATCAAGAATCTGTAGTTAATCTGCAAGAAATGGCTTTGTGGAATGGACATACAAAATACTAACACATGCACTGGGTCATGTTTCATTGGAAACAAAGTAAATAACGTTTCGTTTCAATTAATCTGCACAAGGGTGTAAAGTAATAAGAAATATCTGGATCAAAATCCATTCTTTACTCTCTTTCTCTCTCTCTCTCTCTCTCTCTCCCTCCCACACGCGTACGTATACATACATACATACGTACATGATAGCTGCGAGACAATTTCGAGTAATGCCACCACTGGATCCATCAGAAAATATGGGCAGCGTGGATTTTAGCTTCTCAGTCCAGCTAGGATCTTACATTATCTTGCGCAGATGTAGCAACGTTGGGCGTCTTTTGTAGTATTTGTTACATGATTGACGCATTATTATACAACCAATACTTCCTATTCCTCTTTTATGTTCTGTCACCTTTCAAGACGTTGGCGTTCATGGCTCTCTACACCCTCCTCTGCCTTGTAGTTCTTATCATGGTTTGTCCCTTTGCTAAATCTCCCACTCACTCGTTCCGCTATCCATTCACACACACCCATCAGATAGGTGGCCTGCTGCCTTTCCCCACCTCTGTTTTTGTCTTCGATATATCCTGTGAGTGTCAAATTTTCCAAACCCTTTTTCTTCATTATGTGACCAAGAAATATCAGCTGCCTTTTTTTGATTCTGAGCATTCATATCATTTGTGCTTATAAGTCCATACATTGCATATTTCTGCTATATTTGGTCTGGTATTTCTGCTGTGTATTTAGAGATTATTGATAAAATCCAAAGAAGAATATGTAATTTTATTGGTCCGGACCTGTCATCTCGGCTTCAGTCACATTCACACTGCCGTAATGTAGCTTCCCTGTGCCTTTTCTGCAAATATTTTCATGGTATGCAATTTTATTGGTCTTGGCCAAGCATCTCAGCTGCAGTCACTTTCCCACCGCCATAATGTTGCTTCTCTGTGCTTTATTCTATAAATACTTTCATGGTAATTGTTTTGATGAACACTCCTCTCTGGTACCTAGACTTTATGTATTTAAACGCAGCATTAGATTGGTGGCAAGGTCTCATCATTTTATAGTTGAAACGGCTAGATGGAACCGTAAGTTCTATGCTAACAGTTTCTTCTCACGTGAATCTCGCTCGTGGAACTCTCTTTCATCTTGTTGGTTTCCAGTCAACTTTGATCATCAAAAATTTAAATTCAGTGTCAATGTAAATTTACTGTCTTCTTGATTACTCTTCTATTGTTTTCGCTTATTAATAATGCCTTCTGTTTTTCTAATTCTTTCACACTTAGTAACCCCTTGCGTCTTAGTGACATTCTTCTCTTGCTTGGAGTGAAATGATTAAAATATATAGTAACTTTTCAGACAGTGAGCTCTCTAGTCTTGCTATTACTGTCTGAAAATTCGCGATGATGATATTTTTCCTATAATTAGGTTTATTATCCTCATCGATGTTTTGTTCTGTAATATATTTCAGCCAATGACATCTCCCTGGCTTTGCTTTTATTGTCTGGAGTCATGATACGGAATATTATTTTTCTCTTAATAACTAAAAATATTATCCTGTTATTCTTCGGATTATGTGTCGGTCAATTCTTCCCTTTTATTGCTTGAAGACTTGACATAAAAAGCTGTCATTTTCTCTGCAAGCAAATTAGGAATGTTATCTCCATCGTTGTTGTTTTGGTCATGCTTCGGTAATTTGGTCATGCTTCGGCAATAATTGTTACCAGATTTTATCTATTGTCCGAAAGTTAGAAACGATTTAAAAAAAAAAAAATTAGTATCCTTGTCTTTTTGTTTTGATCTTTACATTTCGGCCGCAAAAACGCACCGTTCGAAACGGAGTGATCGAATAAACAAAGATAAGTTTACTAACCGGAATATCTCATTAATTTAATAGGCAGGTACTTCGGCGTTGTGTAATGGTTAACAAGATTGTCTCGCTAAAACAGTTACGACTGGAGAGTGAGTTCGATCCTCTCTGGGTACCCCATATTTCCGGCCTTGTGCTATATCTAAGCGACACTAAGACAATCTGTAATAGGCAGGTACTTTGGTAGTTAGGTCGTCAGCAAATACACTGCAAAGACGTAGAAAATAAGTTTATTTCTTCCATACAAATCTGAATCTTTGGAGATGTTTAGAAAATTATATGATGATTTTCTAAGCTTAGCTTAGATATAACAGAAGGCCGAAACTATAGGGCACCCAGTGAAGATCGAACTCACAACTCAGTCGTAATTATTCTAGCAAGACAAACTTGATAACTATTACAGCACGCCGAGTTGCCCAAAATAGCATTCGTCTATTTAGTCAAAAGACTAAACAGACACATTACATTGGGTACATTACACCTGTGGCCATGTGGCATATACTAGAGTAAGTTTGCACCTCGAGGCGGTGTAATGGTTAGCAAGCTTGTCTCGCTAGAACAATTACGACAGACTAGTGAGTTCGAGCCACACTGAGTGCTCCCTATGTTCGGCCTTGTGCCACATCTAAGATATGCTTAGAAAATCACTATTTTGGGCACCTCGAAGTGGTGTAATAGTTATCAAGCTTGTTTCGCTAGAACAATTACAATTGAGTAGTGAGGGTATTAATTAGCACGTAAGTGAATGTAATGGATTCGACTGGAATTCGACATCGGCCCTCCGATTCCTCACTGGGTGCCCCTTAGTTTCGGCCTTGTGGCACAACTAAGCTACGATTGGAAAATCAGGGCACCTCGAGGCGGTGTCATGGTTAGCAAGCTTGTCTCACTAGAACAATTAGACTGAGTAGTGAGTTCGAGCCACACTGATTGCCTCCCATTTTCGGCCTTTTGCCACATCTAAGCTATGCTTAAAAAATCACTATTTTGGGCACCTCACGGTGGTGTAATGTTTATCAATCTTGTCTCGCTAGAACAATTACGATTCAGTAGTGAGTTCGATCCTCACTAGGTACTCCATACTTTCGGCCTTGTGCCACATCAAAGCTACGCTTGGAAAAAAGGGCACCTCGTGGCGGTGTAATGGTTAGCAAGCTTGTCTCGCTAGAACAATTACGACTGAGTTGTGAGTTCGATCCTCACTGGGTGCCCCATACTTTCGGCCTTGTGCCAAATCTAGCCACGCTTGGTAAATCACTATACTAGAGTAAGCTTAGTGATTATTGGCTGAATCAGCAGACAGACGAATACTGTCTGAATTAATCTAAACTCACGTCAAAATTAATCCAGATCCCATGGAACTCCTTCCTTTCAAGCAATAAATGACGAATAGAAATACAGAAAATAAAATTAAGTGAACTTGCAACAGTTGTCTGTTCTCTATGTCTCTGAGAATTTCTTATCTCATTATTCGAGAATTTGTGCTCTAATATGTCTGACTCATTCTGCACGCATGCGTGAGTCAACGTCGCCCTCTAAAGAGTTGCTGCTTTCTCGCCTCGCTTTCTCTCTTCTCCGTGTTCCTCTCCGATGGGAAGCAGTCAGGTTTTATTGGAATTTACCACCCTCTGCCAAATATTGCTATCTATCCTGCCTGCTTTTCAGTTCGAGCAGAGCATACCGTGTTCGGCAACTGGTTTACCTCGCTCTTACATATTCGTTTTTTTTTTTTTTTTTTTTTTTTGGGCTGGTAATTCTACCGTTATCGTGATAATGCGGGTGATGTTTATACTGAGAACTAAAAGCGTTAATAATTCTCCTGACAAAAGCAGCGATATTCGTGTTGACAGCTGTTTTGAATGGCTTAACCTAGACTCGCGCTATGGAAGCTTTTGAAACACTGATGCTATGTGGAAGAAAATGTACTTATCAAAAACTTCGACATGATATTATGCAACTGAAGCTTAAACATAACGTTTACACCCTCTATCTCAAGCTTTTGTAAGTAGTTTTGTGTCTGTCGATGTGAAGGAGGTAATGACGGCCATTATGGGAGGTGGTAGTCGTGATGAATTACTGTTAAGTATTTTTTTAATTAAAATACTAAAACGAACTATTAGAATATCATATATTAAATTATTATGCCAGGTCACTTTGTAGGTATCCTTCTACTGTAGGTATTCTTCTATCAGGGCACCTCGAGGCAGTGTAATAGTTAGCAAGCTTGTCTCACTAGAACAATTAGACTGAGTAGTGAGTTCGATCCTCATTGGGTGCCCCATACTTTCGGCCTTGTGCTACGCTTAGAAAAAACAGGGTTTTATTTTTGTTAAATGTCAAAATTCGGAGTGTTGGGATTCGATAAAATAACATGAAATATTGTTGCGGAACTTCTCGTAATTCTGCCGTTTAGTATAATCCCACGATTTTCATTGAAAGAATAAAATCCAGTAGAAAAAGCCAACGTAGTATCAACAAATTAACATTAATCTAACGACAAGAATACAAGAAGTTGGTTATGGATTTGATGGAGAAACGTCTTTTTGTTTTGGTTAATTAAGTTCTGGAATAGAATATGAATTGTATTTGTGTACGTATGTGAAAACGATGAAATATGGTTACATGTGTGTTTGTGTGAAAGAGTCAGTACGTGTGTGCATGCTTAGTCGTAACGGAGACAGGTAGTTAGAACTTAGTTCTTACTGTGAAGTGTGCTGCCGTAGTCTTAAGCAGTCTCTTTGTAGTTTGACAGCGCTGTTGCTTTTTCCGTGTCGACGTGAATGGTCTCTTGAAGATAAGCAGTTAGAGTGTCGTGGACCTTGGTGACATCTGTGCATGTCATGGGGGCGGATTTCATGAGTTTTAGGTACTTTTTCGTAATAAAATTGGTTCCAGAATTATACTATTTATTTATTTCTAATTGGACCTAAAATGCCACGTGATATGTTTTCTACTATGTCGGCACGATATTTTAGCGTTATCTAACTAAATAATGGTAACTAATAAAACAACCTTTCTGATTTATTGTCTATGGTTTTATTTGTGTGTTTTAAGATGTAAGCACTTTATTGAGTGTTATTGGTTTATAAATATCTTATTTGATATTTTAGTGGTCAGAGTAAAGCCCCCCCCCTTCAGACCATTAGAAAACTTCCTTCTAATGATATTTAGGAAACAATAATTTAATATCTCAGGTATGTTTTCTAATGTTTTGACCAATGCACGTCTTTCCCTGATCTTGTTGTAATATACTTTTGTGTTATTGTTTCTGGTTGGGTGTCATTTGCTTTGTTGGATATTTGTTCATTCGTCTTTTGAGTGATATTTGAATATGGATGCTCATGTTTTTCTTTTTGTAGTTCTTGTGAGAATTGGTTATCGACATAAGCTGGTTTAATCCGGTCGATAGCAATATTATCATGTTTACCTTTTTTCATGATGGTGAAATACCTGTCCTTTCTGTTAATAACTTGGTATGGACCTGAGTAAGGATTTTTTTACGTCATCATTTCTTATATATATGTGCAAAGAAAAAGGTCATTTAGTAGGTATATATTTTTGTTTGCTTTCTGTGTAGGTGTAAAAGTTAATGATGGCATTCTGTATTTGAATTCCGGTACAAAAAGTTGTTCGTGATGTCGCCACAAAATTGACCAGGTAGAGTCAATGATGTGCCGAAAACCATTTCAGCTGGTATACCACCCAAGTCCTCTTTTATAATGTTTCTCATGGATAAAAGTACCAGTGGTAAATTCTCTAATTAGTTTTGTTTCATTGCTAGAACAGCCTTTAACTGCCTGTGGAAGCGTTCTACCATCCCGTTTGCACAAGGGTGATAGGTTGTAGTTTTTATGTATCAAGTCGCGAATAGGTGATTGGACTCTCTAAATAATGTATATAATATATGAACTGAGCTCCTCTGTCTGCTGTGTGTAATGAAGGTACTCCAAATATTACAATCTAATCAGTGAGGGTAGTTTTGGCTATTGTTGTGCTGTAATATTGCAACAAGCCAGCGGGTAAACATATCTAGGATATAAGCAAATATATGGATATAAATCCGACAGTATGATATCTAGGATAGTAAGGATATATGTATATCCTTGAGAACATGGTAAGAGTCCTACAATGTCGACATGTATGTTATGAATCTTGCATAAGCTGTGGTGAATGTGCCTGCAGGTGATTTGGTGTGCTTATTTACCTTATTCTTCTGGCATGATAAACAAGTCTTTGTCTAATTTCTTATGTCGGGTGACATATTTGGCCAGACAAAATGTTCAGTAATTAACTTCACAGTCGCACATTTTCTTGGGTGAGGCGATTTATGGAAGTGTTGGAATACTTGCTGTCTCAAATTTGGTGGTATGTAAGGCCGTGGTTGAGTTTGTGAATGTTACAATAAAATTTTGTATCACTGAATAGAAGCGGTAGTTCAACTAATTTTTGTTAGTGCTTTGCTGAACTTCTTGTAGTGTAGTGTCCGTGGTCTGTTCTTTAGCAATTAATTCAAAGGTTCAAAGAACTAGAATCTAAAGAAGCAATTGTGACACGTGAATAGTGCATCTGCCACTATATTTTCTTGACCTGTCACATAACTAATGTCTGAAGAGAATGGGGAAATGTAATCCAGATGTCTGATTTCCCGTAGATTATATTTGTCAGTATGTGTGTGTAATGGTTTATGGTTTGTATATATGGTGAAATGTCTGCCCTCCAGAAGGCGTTGAAAATGTTTAATGGAAAGGTATATTGCCAATATCCCCCCCGGAAAAGGTGCTGTACTTAGTCTGTGTCTTACTTAGTTTAGCGAAGAAGAAAGATATAGGTGTGATTTGTTTGTCCAAGTTTTGGTGTATAAGCGGTCCACAGCTGTCGATGAAGCATCTGTTGTGATAGTTTAATTTCCTCGCTATTCTTGATGTAATTCAGCTTAGGGAAGCCAGCTAAAGATGGTTTGGCATTGTTGAATTTTTCTAGAGTATCTTCCCGTAACGTAATCTTTTTGTTCTTGTTCTTTAGTAGGTTCCTCATGGGTGATAGTACCACTGAACAATTGGGTATAAATCTCTTATGATAATTGATAAGGTCTATAAATCTTCGCAATTGTCTTAGTGGCATTGGTTGCGGAAAGTTGGTAATTACCTCTATTTTGTCTGGTAAAGGTGGAACACCTTCTTGGCCAATTTCATGCCCGAAGAAATTTTTGTCTCTGCAAAAGCTGTTCGTGGACATTGATTTTGAGTTCAAAATGTGAAAGTCTTTGAAAAGCTTGTTCTAAATGTAGTTTGTGTTCTTCTCAATTTTTGCTGGCGATTAAAACATCGTCTATGAAAGCATATGTGAAAGGTAAACTTCTCGTCGATTAGTCTCTGGAAGGTCTGAGCGGTGTTACGTAACCCAAAAGGCATTCGCACGAACTTTTATAATCCAAACAGCGTCGTCAGAGAAGTTTTGTGGATGTCATCTACGGCAACTGTTACTTGGTAATATACCTTCATCAGGTCTAGCTTCGAGAAAATGCGAGCACCTAGGAGGCCCATTGCAAAATCATGTATTTGTGGGATCGGGTATCTGTCAGGGATGGCTTGGGCGTTCGATCTACGAAAATCGCCACATGGACGCCACGCTGACGTGTTAGATTTTTGGATCATGTATTTGATGATGACCATACGCTCTTGGATGAACGTATGCCACTCAACTGTACCATTTGATGGAACTCTGCTTTGGCTAGTTTATATTTGTCAGGTTTTAATAGTCTCAGCGTAGAGTCTACCGGTTGTTCTGTTGTTTTAATGTAGTGTTTCGAATTATGTTTGTGTCCGTGTTTTTAAAAGGTTGAGAAATTTAGCATATCTTTTAATTAATTGCTTAATACCGTTACCTTGTGGTAGGGCAGTACTAATTCCATTTGACTGGTATCGGGAGCAAATTCTTCTCAGAGAAAGTTCTGTTAGATTGTCAACAATGGAATGAGTGGTCATGTTGACCGATAAGTCAAATTTAGCTAGAAAGTATGCACCTAATATTGGTGTAGTAACTTGTGTGAAAACCAGCAGAGAATTTCGACGCATACTCAGGTCAATGATCGCTGCTCCCCCCCCAAAGTATCAGTTTTCGTACCGTTAGCCGCTTGGAGTTTGTAAAGTCTTGGTTTTGAATTTTGTTTTGGATCCGGTGGTAAAACACACACTTCAGATCCGGTGTCTATTAAAAAATTATATCCGTGATTTCTATCAAGGATATAAAACAGACGATGCTTTGTGAAAGTCCAGCAACAGTTGCCGTCTATACTGACTGTAATTCAAGTTATCCGGTGCCGTGTTTACAAACAGCGTCTGGTCTCTGTACCAAATTTGTAATGGTAGTAGCAAATGTCGAATTTCTGTCTTTCTCTATCATTGCTGAAACTCCTACTATTACTCTATTATCTGCTCGTTTCATGAGGAATTTTGGTCGTTGTTGTTGTAGGTTCAAGAGGGAGTGCATTTGTTTAGCTAAACTTGCAACCGTTGCTTGTAGTTGCTCGATTTGCTCGTTTTGTTGTTGTTTCGAAGGTTGCGGTGTCAATGCATTCATCTCCCTGTCTCTGAAACCAACACCAGCAGAATCCAGAAGTTTCTCCAATTTCGTTTCCTCTGCCATGGGTGCTTTGTGTCATTGG